CGCTCTTGGCGAGCGGCTGAACGCAGCCTCATTGGCGAGCGGCTTGGGCGGCGCACAGGCCGCCGCGCAGCTGGGCTCGCTTCTCTCTGGTGTGGGCGGCGCGGCGAGGGCGGCGCAAATGGCTCTCGGGGTCAAAACGCCATCGGCGAATGCGCAATGAGACCTGAGATCATGCCGTGGTGGCCAAACGCTTGTATTGTGTGAAAGGTATTATATAGGAAGTGAGTGCAGTCGGGGAGGGCGAGCCGACCCACCTGCGAACACTAACCTGTGCACACTACGACGATCTGCGTTCCTGTCTCCTTCTGACTCTATCTATATTTACATACATACACACCTCGAGGGACGAGGCTCTCTTCCAAGAGCGTAATAAAAAGCGAAACTGGGGGGGGGGGGGGGACTCCACGTAAAAGTAACACGCTCAACCCACTCAACGTCGCTGGCCCTTCTGGCACCAGCGGGAGCACCGAGCGCGCACCGCCGCGCTCTCCCTCCCCCACGACCTCGCCGCCTGCCAAATCGCCGCGGCCGTCTGCGCCTGCTTCCGGGTATGACTCCGAGCTCGAATTTTCCGACGCTGAGGCGCGGGATAGGGTGGCAGGGGTTGTGCACGACGCAGTGCAGCAGGCTGTGATGCAGTATGGCTATGCCGACGAGCTCTACCAGGCATGGAGGGACGGCGAGATAGGCGAAAAGGACTTGCCGGAGGAGGTGATGGCTATGACTTTGGACCTTTGCGAGAGGTGGCGAGCGGAGCAAGCGCGGTGTAGGCGCGCCCACGCGGCGCAGCGGCTCTCCCGCGACCATAGCCCCTCCCGCAGCCGCAGCCGTAGCCGCAGCCCCAACTCTTGCTGCTCTTCTAGTGTCGGGTAAACCGTAGTGACACCAGGGGTGAGGGGACGGATTGAAGATCCCTCACACCAAGATCGTGCAGGGCGGGGACACATGTCCCTAAATCCCATCTCGTCTCAGAGTTTGACCGTTTTTATTTATTTATTTATCACCGGCACGTTTTGCGCGCCGTCAGCGGACAGGGGGTGCCACTCGCAACCGACTGCCAGCACCAGTCAGCAGCCTCTCGCTAGGCGCAGCGGCCGGGTCCTCTCGTCAGCCCTTCACGGCGTGCCACCGGTTGGAGCATCGCGACGCAGCCGACCGAACCACCCTCTTGCGGTGATCGAGCAGGTCCTGCAGGTCGCGCAGAACCCGCTTCTTGAGCGGGTAGAGGGTTGGCGGAGGCAGCGTGGAAGCGGCCGAGTCGAGCAGCTGCAAGGCCCGCTCGGTGAGGCGGCTCGCCGGGCCGGGCGGGAGCAGCTGTGTGGCAAGACCGGCAAAGCGGAGCGCCGCCGGGATCGCCTCGGCAAGAGCCGCCTCGGCCTGGGCGCCGTCGCGGTTGTTGGCTTCGGGCAGCTTCCCCGCAAAAGCCAGCATCACCGCCAAAGCTTGCTCCACTCTCTCTGCGGCGGCGTCACCCCCGAGCAGCGCTCTCGGGACGGAGTCGCCGCCGCCATCGCCGCCGTCGCAGCAATGCTGGAGGACGTGCCTCAGCCAGAGGCTGGCGGTGGGCGCGAGGCGGAGGAGCGGAGGCAGCGCGGCGGCTGGGAGGCCGAGGAGCACCATCACAGTTGCGTGGACACGCCACAAGCTCGCCGCAGCAGAACCCGGCGCCCCCGCCGGCCGATCTCCGGCTGAAGACGGCGCGAGCCGCGGCAAGAGCGCGGCGGACAGCCGCTGCGAGAGAAGCGGCGAGCAGCTCGCGCCCGTCTCGCGAAGGAGC